AACCGATGGGTAACCTATGGGTTACCGACCCAATCAGTGCCTTAGGGACGTACTCTACATAACTACATATATACACTGCGTGTGTAATTGCATGCATGTACGTATGTGCACCTGTGTGTGTTGGACGCATGACTGTTAAAGATACGGTCCATAATTTATTAAAAATTCTGATCCCGAATCTGTAAGAGAAGCAGGAAGTTCCAGTGAAGGATTTTTGTGAAGCTGGAGAAAATGGGTATTTGAACTAGAGAATTCCGTAATGTTCGCGAAATTGCAGTTAGTTGGTAGAAGAAAAAAGGGCCTTATAAGAGGTTTTGAAACTCGGAGTTGCTACGGCTTTCATGGGATATGTTTTACCTTGGGGACAGATGAGCTATTGGGGAGCAACGGTGATCACTAACCTGTTCTCTGCTATACCGCTTATCGGTGAAAGTATTGTTACATGGCTATGGGCTGCAGCTGGATTTTCAGTTGCTTACCCAACCTTAAACCGGTTTTATTCACTGCAGCCAGCTTTGGACTCTCTCTTGTTATTGTATCTATATATTTTGCTGAAGCTGAGAAAATTATCTCCAATGCAAAAAGCTTATAACAATTTGGAGATGCATTATGATCTTGCAGTAAAATATTGTAGACACTGATTCAAGAGTTGATTTCAAATAGTGGTGAGATTTTTCAATCGATAAAAATTGGTGATAACACTATTATACTGTAAAAGACGATTTTAAAATTGGGCAGCTACAAGATACTGACTTAGAATCTTGGTTTTAGCTGTTCTATATGTTTAGCTTTTAACTTGAATTCTTCAAGAAATCGTTGAAGTATGTAATGTAATGTAATGATACAGAGTGGGAGGCTTCTGGGCCGCTTTATCACATTGTCAGTTCTAGGATTTATCACCTTATAGCACCATCCACCACTACCACACTGTACTACGCCATACGAACTGGATGGCGGATCCAGCCTTCAAGGACCCCTCCTCATCCATTCACCCGAACAACCGAAGAGACAGAGGGTCCGGCAATCGCCACCAATCCAGCGTGCGAATCTGGTCCATCAACTGTAACCTCAACTCCACATCTCAGCAGCTAGCCATAATCTCGCGCTCCTGACTAATTCGGGGGTCTCCCCAGGAAAAAACATCTTATAACAGCAAAAACAGCCACCCAGACAGATGCATAAACACACATATATCTATAGTGATTAGGTCTGCAAGTTTGGCCATTTGAATGGAATCGGAGCAACAAGCCAGGTTTTCAACTTGGCATGCAAATGCACCTGCTTAGGTGGGGCTGCCCCACCAACTACAAAAACGCACATAGATTGGGGAAGCACAACAGTGCCTCGTCCAGCAGCTGAGTATTTGTGGGAAGGTGGCTTTATACACCATCTCCATTACTGGCCATGCTGCTGCTGCTTTTGCAGCTGCCTTTTGAGGGCCTCAATCTCCTGCTCCGCTACCTCCAGCTTCTGCTTCAGGTCCTCCAGCTTCTGCTCCGCTACCTCCAGCGTCTTCTTCTCTGCCTCAATCTCCTGCTCCGCTACCTCCAGCTTCTGCTTCAGGTCCTCCACCTTTCGACTTGAAACCAGGTCTGTGATTACAGGATTCGCCCACTTGTCTGCCAGAGTTTGAAGTGTCTCACTGGCTAGCTTTGCCCAATCTACAACCTGGGTGATGTCTTCACCAGGGTACAGCACAGTATGCATATGGGCGAAAACCTGCAAGACCAAGGGATGTTCAGGGAGCATTATCTACCTGCAAAAGTGTAGTAGCTGACTGCTAAAAAGGCCTAAAGATGCTGGATGTATACTTCAGTGTACATTTCATGAATTCATCAAGTGTACACGGTAACGTACGACTAATAGACTAGCCAACTCTGTAAAACTTCAAATTACTTATTCTGTCTATGCAACCAAATTAATACCTAACTTGTCAGGACACTTCCATGAAATGCAGCTTCTGCCTTCACAAAATGTGCCTCCTAAAAGCCCCCAGGAAGACAGTGATGACACAACATCTAGCCACTCACACTATGCACCAAGGCCCTTATCTGCAAGAGAACCACCCTCCAAAGGTAGGCCTCACCTTAGGCACAACTGATGAAGAAGATCTTTTGGATGTTGACAGGAGGTTGCATTCGAACTGCACCCAATCGAAGAGGCAGAACTCATGACCACATGCCTGGAACTGGTAACCATGTGCCTGGGAGTTGCCCTTGGGCAGGGGAGGTCCTTTATTATCAATCTTTTGGACCAGCTGCACAGTAGCAAAATACCAGTCTGAAGCATCTGTTAGCAGCAGCGTCACTGGATCCGTCTCATTCTGAATTGCCAGCTCTAGAGCTGTTGCAAGGGGCTGCCATATGTCATACTTGAAGTTAACCCTACTCTTCAGTTCCACCACCAACACTGCCTTGCCACCTGTGTTAATTGCATCCACCAGGTCAAAATCCTCTTCATACTTCACTTGAGGGGGGACACGGAGGAGGACAAACTCAGAACGACCTGCATTACATCCCAGGGGTAAAATGATGTATGATAAGCTTGTTAGCAGCTTACTATGGATAAAACATGCCAATAACCAGAGGGTTTCCTAGCCCCTGTCTGACAGGGGTAACAGGGTGCATGCAAAGGAATCAAAACATGTTATTCCGTTAACAAAAATAAAGCTTGTGCCACTGAGGTTATGTGTAGGATTGACAGCAGGACACCGTGTGATTAGAGCATGAGCACTTAAGGTTGACCTCCTGCTTAGGGTTTAGCATGCTCTGGGCTTGTGCCTGGTGATGTGGAGGAGGGCCCTCATTCCATTAACCATGAGTACTAGAACAGTTGCAGCTTTTGTTTTATACTGCTTGTTAAAACTGGTCCCAAACAGGTCTAATTTTTCAGGAATATCAGTTGCTATTCTGTGCTAGGATATGGGTTCCTAGCATTAAAGCTACTGCAGGTTCTGAGCTGCTGCTTCCTTCTGCAAGCTCTGACATCATTGTGGGTATCTGGTGAAGCAGCTGGCCGCGTATTATTAGGTTTGGCTACGGAAGGATTGAAGGAACTGTAGATATAGCTGATTGCTGCCATATTGGACTGGGGTGAAGTGCGAATGCGTCTGTTTGGAAGGCGAAGGGGGCTACGGCTTGTTGAAAAGGAACAGAGGGAGACGAATGCGCGATGTAAGTACTTGGACTAAGAGATGTGGTGGAGTAGTGCTGTGCGCGTGAGACCGACAGGAAGTATGAGGTATCGGTGCCCAACCGAAAGAGGAAGTGCTGACCACGGAAAAGAACCTTGCTTTCGTGTGTATAGTACAGCCCGCCTATATGCATCAAAATGCGAGGGGGGGAGGGGGGTTTCTCGCCAGGCCTAGCTCTGAACGCCAAAACGCATCTGTTTTGTTCCCTGCGTGATGTAACACTCCGCTTCACGAGGTCACACGTGTTTGCATTGCTATTTGCTATCTGCTACCCAGGCAGGCAATTACCTATTGTGCATGAGCGCGTTGCGAATCACACCTGGGACGGCGGCAACGTGCAGCAATCATTGCGTGTCTCCGTGCAGCAATCATTGCGTGTCTGCATGTACCCAGGTGTAATGACCTTTTGTGGTTGTTCAGGAAACTCCGCGCCGTTACAGGACTCCATTCCGGATGCACAAACGCCAGCACCGTGGTTGCCGGAGTGCCTGTGAGGTCCATACGCGCGTGTGAGGTCCATACTTTACATGCCTGTTTTTTGTTGCCTTGTCGCCATGCCTCTCATCAAACGATGAGAGCAAGCGAAGTTCCTTATCTTTTCATTATTATATCTAAATTTCAGCAGCTCATCAGTTAAAGCAACCCTTTTTTTCCCCGACTGTCCCTATCTATTATTGTTTTATTGTTGAAGTATTGTATTATTTTCTCCAAGCAGCCGGTATTAAAGCAGCTCAATGATTCTGTGCACTCCTGCATGCCAAATGACCTGCAGACGCGCCCGCTCGACTTCACGCTGCTTCACGCTGTGGCGTTTCGCAGTAGCGGGGGCATCCCGCTGGCATCCTGCTGGGTCCGCACAGCAGCCAAACCGGCGTCCGTCAAAGCCCGCCCGCGATTTTCCACACACACAATGTTTATCCCACCAACTCCTGGCTCTTGAAAAGGTCAGACCCTTTGTTGCGCGGCTCGCCAATGGGCTTCACATTTTGGGCATGATATTAAGCCGCTTCAGCTCCCGATAGAATTTCGCCCGCCCGCGAATTTTACGAACATACGTGTCAAGCCCGCGTTCTCTGCTTTCGAGAGCTGACCTTTGCGCGGCCGGCCGTGGCCTTCGCATTTTGGAGTTGAACGGAGTTTTTATTCGGCAGTCGTACCTGCATTTCGTTTGTTATTCGGCAGTCGTACCTGCATTTCGTTGGAGCGAGAGCTGCTTAAAGAACTTCATAGCACTCATTTGGCACTATAACAGAGATTCAGAAAAATTGATAGATCACTTTACTTGGGTACAAATGGTCTGCACAATCCGGGTCAGGATAGTTGAGAGAGGCATGCAAGACGAAATTGTTGGGTAATGCCCTCCGCTATCACTGGCCGATACAACTATCCCACTGCCACCTATTGCTCTGAATACCAATGATCAATCAATATATTTGAATAAACTGAAGGTTTTCTGAGCGAAATGAAAGAAAACCAAGGTTTTCTGTTTTGCCGAGAGCTTACCATGCCCTATGGCAGCCAAACGACGTGTTACGGCCCCCCCCCCC